GAAACGGCGTCCCTCAACCATTCTTCCTTGAATTCCTTTTTGACAACTTCTCGGCAAATTTGTGATAATCTCCCTGATATTATGTATCCTCAGCATTACTGGTCTCCCAATCAGTATGAATCGATTCTCCACCACTGCTTCATTGATTACAGACTCCGGTAAATTGGACGGAGGATCGTCAGCCCCAAGAGCAATGTTCTGAATTCCCCTTCTTAAATTATCTGCCATGATAAAAAAATAGATCGTAAAAATCTCCAAGGAAAAATCAATGGATTTGGGATGCTATTTTATTTTGAAAGAGATTAAAAACCAGGAAAATGTTTTATATAACTCAAACTCCTTGGAAGTTGAGAAGATATCTCATCACAATCGTGGGAATCGATCAGGGGAATAACTGCCAAGAGATGGTTTAGTGGGGAAACCCTGGCTACAACAAATCCGAGAGCATCATGGATAAAGAAGTATAAGAGAATTGATCGGAATATTTCCCTTCCTGGTCGGAGAGATAACCGTTGTATACAACGAGCATAACTGAATCGCCTTTCGAATTGCCATATTTGGTTTGCAGTTGAGAGAGTTAAACACAAGCATGAAATTATTTATTCTAATGTTTTTATGTACAAAATTATTATACCGCAAGTGGAGACTTTTCTTATTATAATCAAATATAATACTTAGAAATAAAAATAAATATACCATATAATATTTTTTAATCTTTTAAATGTTAATACTTTGTAATATTTAAGAGTAATGTCCAAAAATGACCTTAAATATTTTTTCATAAATATAGTCAACAAGGGTCAAAATGACCAAAATATTTTTATTAAAGAGGCAAATAGATACTTATATACTTAGGGATACTTAATATTTTTTTCATCAACATAAACAAACTCATGAAGACTTTGTAAACCAAACTGATAACTCTGCATCCATATGAACGACGAACGACGGTTGCTTCCCTAAACTGCATGCTAGACTGACCAGCATTGAATTATGCTTTCTTGGTATATGAATGATCTCTGAGTTACGAAAACTTTCTTTCATGATCTTGATATCTTCTAAATAACTGGCATAAGCTACCTATTCTTCTGGTTCCGCATGAAGTGGTGACATATTTTCCCTATTGTTTCTTGCCTACATCAATCCATCAAAGCCCTCAACTATACCAACCATGTCCCGAATGACTACCCTGTTCTTTCCATGATCCATGCATAACAGACCATCTTTTCGTGATGTAAGGTAAAGTAGTGTCTGGTACCTCCTTGTTTTGGGTAACCCTTGATGTTATTGATTCATGTGCCTCCACCCAAATTAATGATTTTATTTATGCCAATTAAGAGTATCCCTGAGATCAATATCCAAACTACTAAACACTTTATTATTTTGTCTCTTCCAAATGTACCAAAGTATCCATGCAAATTGATGATATTCTATTTGAGAGGAAACTCTCCAATATAGATAGTACATATTTGTGAACAATGATTGTCCAGGAAAGATGTTTCGATTCGATGGGTACTTCGAGAGTTTTTGAACCGCCGATGGACATTCAAAAAACACATGATTTATTGATTCCTCTGGTACTTCACATCCAGCACAACATATATCTCCTAGATTCCTCTGGCTTGTAGGTTCTTCTTGACCGTCATGCATCATGTCATTATTTACCATAGAAAGTTCTTTATTTTCAGTGGATATCGTATTTTCCAGCAAAATGCCTTCAGCGGAGCGACCGTGGGCCATACAATGGGGATACTTTTTCTCTGTCAGGACAAACTCGTTTCACTTGGTATCTAGATTTAACCATATATTTTCATTATTTGTGAAGTTTCATCCATTATTGTCAGCCAACTGCGTCCGGCTTAAAGGTATGCTTTCTACAATTTTTTTCTCATGAGGATCCACCAAATACGCGATTGCCTGCAAATTCCATGTTCTCGTTGTGGCGTTGATGAAAAAGTCCACTGTAAAGTCAAGGTTAATATTTTGTTGATTTCTATTTACTGGTTTCTGACAATTGGTTGGGAGCCAAAGATCATTCTATATTGAAATGGATGATCATGATCCCACCCTTTTTATTAGTTATTTTGTAACCAGAGATCTAGCAGAGACCAAACTATGCCAACCATGTAATTTTGAGTATCATCTAATCAGTTCCAGGGGTGATGCGTTCTTGAAATACCTTCATTTGAAAACTTTTGAGAATAAAGTATTCGGTTTCTCAATCAACCGCCAAAATTGCTTGCCAAGCATATCCGTATTAAAATATGTGAGGTTTTTAAACCCCAATCTTCCATTATCCTTATGGTCACATAATTTGTCCCACAACTTCAAGTGCATGTCTCTTGTACTTCCCCATGTGCTCCACCAAAATTGTGCCACTATACTAGTCAATTTCTTGTCTTTGGTAAACGATAACAAGAAATCACATGATTTGGTAGCGCTTCGATTACTGACTTAATAATCACCTTCTTCCCTCCCTTGGTGAAAAAATTAAAATTCGCTCTTGTAGCCTTATTATTTAGTCGATCTTGTATGAAACCAAATACATATATCTTTGTTCCCCGTCAAGCTTTCCCGCATTTCCAAATAGGATCTCATTCCACCTATAGTATCTGTAAAATATCTTGTGGTGCCTTGTGAGTGGGTTCGTCGATCTTATGTCCAAACTGGATAGAGAGTTTTAGAAATTTATCAACTGATCGAAATTGTCTCATAGTTCTTTAAAAATCTAAGGATGGTTTGCCATTCCTCTTTTTGTGTCTTGCAAAAAAAAAGACTATTGTCCACAAATAACAAATGATATATTTTTGGGCAAGTCCTTGCAGCCTTTATATTCGTTAATTGTTTCTCTCTCCGCATTTTAATAACAAACTAATATATATTTAAAATTTAGATTTGATGGGTAGAATTTTATGAAGGGGGGGAGTTGTTTTTTTTTTGATAAATGGCTCTTGTTGGAGGGGAACGGAGGGGGTGTTAGGATTTTAAAACACACACAAATAAAGAGAATAATAAAAAAAAATTAAAAAAATCTAAAATAGTTTCAAAAATAATTGATTTGATTTTGGTGAATTTTAGATGATTTTGTAAGAACTGAGAGTTTAATATGATTTTTTAATAAATTACTTTATAATTTTACCTAAAATCAAAATTTTGTTTTTTAACTAATAAATTCTATCCAAATGCTTTACAATCAATAGAAAACTTTTTTTTTAAAACATACCTTAAAATATTCTCAATAACGTTAAATTTCAGAATATTTTATGATATACCAAGTTTAATCGTAGATTATAAATAATTTTTTAAAACTTATTGTTAGTGAATTATCATTTTAATACAAATTAGTTCAAACTCTAGTCAACATATTTTACAGGTTACTATATTTTCTGGTCAACAACGTATTACTTTTCTAAAAAGTACAAAATCATAATCTAGGCATCGTAGCCAACTTGTAGTATCACGTCATTTGAACGGACCGAAAGAAAAGTCCAGTTATGACAAAAAGTTTGTGAGTCAGTAAAAGATTCTTCGAAGTTTTTTATAGAAGATTCTTCAATTATACTTTCTCAACATTAGATACTTCGGTTATGACAACGTAATCAGAACTACTCAGTTCATAAACATGCAGCGTAGTCTTCTCATAATTATTTTTGACAAAAAGTCTTCTCATAAGTATGACTCACATCCACGTTAGACACGGTCACACGGACACCTAATTTTTTTTATATTACGTAATTATCGCATGCATTCAATCAATGTCTATAACATTAACGTCAATACATTGCTAGTCTCTTGGACATCGTCAAGTGATAGTGGAAAGGCAATATAGATTCTTAACAACAAAAAGATGCACTTTACATACTAGAACTGGACAAGAGATATCAAGTGGTGGTCCACAAAGTCTAAAGACATATAAATTCAGTGGACAAGAAGCAATGCAAACAAGGTTACAGACCGACTTGCTAATTGATGCAGCAGTGGATTTCCAGTTTTATTACTATGTACCACTGTTTTTAAATGATTTGTTCCATTTGGAACATGTACTTTCCATTTAATTAATAAAGCTGATGTTATTAAAACAAGATAAACGTCAATTTACGGAGGGAAGTCATTTGGATATCCATTTGAGGTCCTCGGATCTATTTGAATTTTGAATTTTGGATTTTTGGAGTTGAAGACTTTAGCTTCACGGGATATATATATAAATTTTGGTTTGGTTTGGTTTGAATCTTTGCGGGTCCGATTCGAATTTTTTTTTTGGGTTTAGATAACCCGTTCAATTATTTTTTATTTTTGTAAATGGTATATTTTAAATTTTGGAAAATCTAAAAATTAAAATAATATTTAACATATAATTTTTAGTAATGTATGCCAAAATAACTACTTAACATAAAAATTGGTTTGGTGTGAATATTTAGATGGAAAATTATTAAATATTTTAAATATTTTTAGTGTTTGAATATTATTTAACTACTTTAGATATTCACTTTTAGTTATTTGTTTATATTTTAAAATATTTTGGATAACGTCAAAATACTTTATATATTTTGGATAATTTTTCGATATTAAATCTAAATATAGCTAAATATTCAACTATATAAATATTATTTTTCGGATCGGATTCGGTTTTTCTGGTTTTGGATTTTTTTTGTGTGATCTTAATTTACAGTAAAAAAATCGGTGAACACCATATCTTAATGATACATTTTTATTTTTTTAAAAAACGTATTTGTTTAACTAACTGATAAATCGATGGAAATTGCAGTTTTTTAACACATATTTATGTTTTTAATTGAATTGTAAATACAACTTCCAAATTTGAAGCTGCAATTTTCTCTGTATTTTTGATCTTTGAAAGTCAACGAATACATCTTTTCTCAGTCTTTGGACGTAAACCAATACTCGTTTTCTCATCTCACCCTCGCCTATATAGTTAGTACTATACCATAACGAATTAACAAGTAAAAAAAAAGAAAAAAAGTTTTATCATTTCTAAAGATATGGGGAAATGCTTTGCTTTGATCTTTCTCTTATCTTTTCCTTTGCTTCTTGTCCTTCAAAACCTACAAGTCGTTAACGCCGTCGGGTGTGCCGGAAGCTTTTACAACGATAACAGCGCTTACGTTCAGAATCGCGACGATATATTCTCTACTCTTGCTGATAAAGTAATTGCCAACGGTGGATTCTACAACGCTTCACTCGGCAACAGTCCAACCAGAGTTTACGCTCTTGTCCTCTGCCAAAGAGGCTACGACCAACAAGCTTGTTTCAATTGTGTCCTAAGTGCGACTCGAGGTATACGAACGGAATGTCGAAACCGAATGAATTCTTACACGTGGGACAAAGACGTTGAAGACAATGTTTCTTGTCTTGTACGTTCTTCAGTCCACTCAACTTTTGGGAACCTTGAGCTTAGTCCTGCTATTCTATATTCAAGTCCAGATGGTATCGATCCATCTAACAACATGACCCTTTTCGAACAAGAGTGGGATGGAATGGTTAACCGGACTGTCGAGGCTGCCACGGATGCTGAAACTTCCTCCGTACTTAAGTACTATGGTGCCACAGAAGCCGAGTTTACTGAGTTTGAAAATGTTTACATGCTGATGCAGTGCACACCCGACATAACTTCTCAAGATTGCGATAGATGTTTGAGAGAATGCGTGACGTTATTTAAAAACCAGGTCTGGGGAAGACAAGGAGGCGAGGTCAATCGTCCCAGCTGCTTTTTCAGGTGGGATTTTTATAAATTCCATGGTGCTTTTGGTAATGTTACTAGAGTTCCAGCACCTCCGGCTCAGGAGAGCTCTACAACAGACAACAAAGGTATTACAAATGAGTTCAAGCCCGGCCAAACTTTGTAAGTATGATATTAATATGTTTACAGACTAAAAAGATTTAATGATTTTCAGGAAGAAGCACAAGGTCTTGGTTAACCATCGCGATAATTGTGGTTCTTACTTTTATTAATGTTTTTGTATCTATCGGTCTCATAAAGTTCTTTGCTCGGAGGAGGAAATCAAACAACGAAATCAATGGTAAGTTCAATCAACCTTAGGGCACGGCTATGGTTGTGATAAATGAGTATTCTGAATATACTTACATTTGTGGTTTAATAAAGATTTGATTTTTATTTATAAACAAATTAGGTGAACCAATATTTTTTTGTATAATACTGACTAGAGAGTAATTAAGACTTGTTTTCGTTATTCTTTTAGTTGATGGTGAAGAGCACTCTGAGTCAGATGGTCAACATATGCTACGGTTTAATCTTGGTATGATCTTGACAGCAACCAATAACTTCTCGTCTGAAAATAAGCTTGGGCAAGGTGGATTTGGTACTGTCCACAAGGTATTAATAGCATTTGTAATAATGAGTGATTGATTGGTCTTGATTTTAGAGCATGTCCAATATTTTGGAGTTAAAAATGAAAGGATAAAAATGGATTGATGAATATAATTAGAGGAGTACTCATTTTTCACTCAATTTGGAGTTAAAATGCAGTAACACTAGAGAAGACTTTACTCAATACTCTTTATTAAAATGGATAGATATGCCTTATATGGTTAACAAATCTTAAGAATCGGTTTCAGGGGATATTACCAAACGGGCAAGAGATAGCGGTGAAGAGATTATCAAAAGGTTCAGGACAGGGAGATACAGAGTTTAAGAATGAGGTTTCACTCTTGACAAGACTCCAACATAGGAATCTCGTTAAGCTTCTCGGTTTCTGTAGTGAAGGAGATGAAGATATCCTCGTCTACGAGCTTGTCCATAATTCAAGTCTTGACCACTTTATCTTCGGTTAGCCTTCGAAAAACGGTTGCCACTTTGAACAGTTTTAGTTTTAGAAAATTTAAAACAAACAAATGTTTCTTTGAACTGTGCAGATGAAGAGAGGCGTTCACTTCTTTCATGGGAGCTTAGATTCAGAATAATGGAAGGCATTGCTCGAGGTCTTCTTTATCTTCATGAAGATTCTCAGCTGAAGATTATTCACCGAGACTTGAAGGCGAGCAACATCCTGTTAGATGCAGAGATGAACCCTAAAGTTGCAGACTTTGGGACCGCAAGGTTGTTCGACACTGAGGAGACTCGAGCTGAAACAAGAAGAATAGCTGGAACCCGGTAAGAATATATATCAATCAATCTTGAAGACACGTATAAGTATATGGACTTTTTAGGCAATCGTGGATCAATATTAATTCACAAATTTATTTGCATATATGTAGTGGATATATGGCTCCTGAATACCTGAATCACGGACAAATCTCAGCTAAATCTGATGTATACAGCTTCGGTGTTATGCTTTTAGAGATGATAAGTGGGGAAAGAAACAATAGCTTTGAAGGAGAAGGACTTGCAGCTTTTGTATGCTTTTGTCCTGAATTTTCTTTTATCTTCAAACTTCTATGTGCAGAGTGTAAAACATATATTTTCTTGGCGCAGGCATGGAAGAGATGGGTTGAAGGAAAGCCTGAGACTGTAATTGATTTTTTACTGATGAAGGAGCCTATAAACGAGATCATGAAGTTGATCCAGATTGGTTTATTGTGTGTTCAAGAGACTGCAGCAAAGAGGCCAACTATGAGGTCGGTAATAGTTTGGTTTGGCAGTGAGACTATCATCATTCCTTTACCTAAAGCTCCTCCTATGATTGGAAGTCAATGTCAATCTGAAGATGGTACAATGTCAATGAGCAATGACCCCACGGAGTTGAGTTGTCGTTGAGTTATAATGGTGAAACAAAATGTCAGTTTTAACAAAATAAAAAGGATTTATGAGGGATGAATTTTATCATAAAAAATCAGTCAAATGAAACGGGATTTCGAGGCTATTCAAATTGCCTCGGATCATAACGATTTATGGACTGTTTTTTTTTTGTGTGTGGAAAATTTGCTAGAACTCAATTTTAATACATTTATTAAAATTGTAGTTTGTTTGAATGAGAAATGTTTATCCTAAGATTGTTGCTTTAATAGCACAAAATGGATTATGTGGAGAAGTCTAATAAGGTTAAGAACCTTAGACAATTATAGATAAAGGATAACTAATACTAAACCAAGCGTGCGCATCAAGTTGAGTCGATATGATCTCGAACTTGTGTTCGGTTTAGATAACAGTTCGGGTATATGAATTATGGTCCAACAACCTATATTTTTATATCAAACTTGCATTTTTTGTAATTGATTACTACATAGATGAAATTTTGATTAAAAAATAAACAAGTCTTTTAGACAATAAAACTTGGTCAAAACTCATTAATTCTTGTTAAGAATTACTCTTGGTCACCAAGCTAAAAAGTCTCTTAATTTTGTGATTAATTAGTGGTTAATGCCAAAAATTAGTGCACTATCTATCTCCACTAAGATCAAAAACGTTTTTGACATTTTGTTAATCTATATAATGTTACCTCTCATTCCACAAAAGAGAGAACATGAACAACAACAATCTCTTCCACTTCTCATTTTTATCCTTTTTATTTCTCAAAGAGAGTACACATAGAAAAAGATTTGCTAGGCTTCTTATTCAAGTGATGTGAATAGAAGAAAGATGCAGTTTTATCATGGGACTCTAATCGTCGTACAACCGTCACACTACGGGGCGATTTTTATGTTAAGGAAAGAGATTCCTAAGTCCTGAGTCTGCAAAAACTCGTTGTCTATTTCATTTGATTCATGGTATTTCTGTATTTATTCAATGTTCTTTATCATCTATCTTACAATTATTCAGATTGTCCCCTTTATAAATTAAGGTCTTACAATAATACCTTCCCTTATAAATCATGTCGTAAAAGTTGCTGCATTGAACACAACTAACCACTTGTCAGTGAGCGATCGGATGATACATGGCGTTCCAAGATCTTTAAGGGACTTGAGTTCGCATTGCTACTTAAATTACTCTGATTTCTGGCCACACCAATATTAATTAATGCTTGCAGTCTATTATAACGGATTACTGTTTTCGGTCTTTTAGAATATTTGGAAGGATGATATATATGTGGATTGTATATCCTTTTGAAGATTAGTCTCAATCTAACAAAGAAAAAAACAATTATGTGTTATTATCACATCTCTAGTTCCCTAAACATCATTTGAGAAATGATTTATTATTTGTCATTATCACATTGATTTTGAAAGAAAAATGATATGACAGAATAACAAGAATGACATGATTTGAAGTTATTGTAATATGCACATTTAAATATTGATTTATATTTTTAGTATTTTTTATAATATGATAATAACTTATAGATAATCATTAATATAGAAATAAATAATATAATAGTAGACATAGAAATAAATTAATATTTTAAAAATTTTGAAACATATTTAATCTACGTTTTATAATTATATAACTTTTCTTACATAAATTTTTTGCAAAACATCTTAAAAATATATAATTTACTAATTCTTTACTTTTAAATATATAAATTTTTTATTTATTATTATTTAGTTTCACGTTATGATAGTTATATACCTAACAAAGTTTTCTTTTAATTTTATAAAAAATGATTTAATATATTTTAGGAAAAATGATTACCGACTACCTAAAGTATCTGCCATCACATGGCTGACCATGCAAAGTAAAAAAATGTACACTCAACTACACGAAATATATGGTATGCATAGTAACATCCATGAACTTTATGTTGTCATGTAGCTAACATCACAAGGATAATAACAATTAGTTACATCACAAGATAAATTACATTTATAATAAATATAACATATAAAAACGTATTACGATATGGAAAACGTTTTTATATTTTATATTTTTATTATTATGAATATTTTATTTTAAAAAGTGTTATACAATAATAATAAAAATTAATTTTATTTCAGAAAAAACTTTTAACTTTATTTTAATTTTAATTTTAATTTTAATAGTTTATTCTTTATTTTTCTATATGATTTGTTAGGTGAAATTCTATTTTACACTATTTGTTGTAGCACAATTCATTTTTCCTTCACTAAGGATATATTCTTACAACTACATTTTTCACTAAATGGAAAAAGACTTTTTTTACCAATTTTTATAAACATATATAAATATAAATAATTATGTAAATAGCTAAGTCATTAAAAAAATATT